TGGCTGGATAACATGTTTATGTTGTTTATTGCTTCTGTTTCTTCTACTGTTTGATACCTTTGTCCAGTTATCAGGTTTGAATCCGGAATGAATATATTCCGAGCCCTGGTTTAAATCATGCGTAACTGAGTCTGTTTTAGTGTTTCTTTCTTCTTGTAATAACTTTATAATTTCTCTGGCCGAATAAAGTTCCAAAAGCACTTCTTCATACTTCATTTTGTTTTGGTAGCAACAATTACATACATTATCAGTAAGAACTTCTGCCGAAACGATGGAAACTGGAGCCGCTGACAAACCGTAAGTCTCAGTATCCGCCATATTGCCCATAGTTCTTCATAGAATATGCCCTTTATGTCATCAACTTTGTCTTCTGTTGGGACATGAACATTTTTAACAATGATATCACACCAATGACCTTTTAGTATTATATACGAGGGTGAGTCGAATGAAAACCGTAAAAATATTTTTAAATTTAATTTATTGAATGAAAGCAGTACACAACTATATTATTTTTCTATATAGTCTCCATTTCATTCAATATATGCCCTCCAGCGTTTACAAGGTGTATGGATTCCTCTAGAAGAAATTCTTGTGGTTGTCTGCGCAACCACTCATGCACTGCCTGAACCCCCTTCATCAGAACAGAACTTACTTCCTCCATCGCCTCTTTCAGTGGCTAAGACATATGGTAATCACTTGGGGCTAGGTCTGGTGAGTATGGTGGATGTGGAAGACACTCAAAAGTCCAAATGTTGGATTGTTGCAACTGTTGCATGAGCAGCGTGAAGCCGAGCATTGTCATGTTGCAAAAGGACACCTCTAGTCAAAAGATCACATCGCTTTGATCTGACTGCAGGTCGAAGATGATTCTTCAGGAGATCTGAATATGAGGCAGTGGTGATAGTGTTCCCCCGAGGCATGTAATGCTCCAAGAGTACACCTCATTCGTCCCAGAAGAGAGTCAGCATAATCTTCCCTGCAGATGGCTGCGTCTGGAACTTCTTGGGTTTTGCTGATGAGGAATGACGCTATTCCTTGCTTGTTTTCTTTGTTTCTGGTTGGTGGTAGTGCACCCAAGTTTTATCGCCAATTCTGGAGTCAGCTGCCATGGCACCCACCTTGCAGACACTTTGAAACTGGAGCACATCATGAATGACATGGTGTGCAGATCTGTGACTCATGTTAAGAATTTGGGTACTTCATCCGCCGACACTCAGCGATTCTCCATCACTAGGGCTTGAAGTGCTGCAGTAGACTCAGGGGTCAGGACTCTGTGCGCCTGACCTGGGCGAGGAGCATCTGCCACATACATCACACCATTTCTGAATTTCATACTCCACTCGTACACTTGCTGCTGTGACAAGCATGCATCACCATACTGAACCTTCATCCATCGATGAACTTCAGTTGGTTTCACACCTTCACTGATCAGAAAA